GGGGGGATCTCTCTCCAACAAAATAATTCAATAAATGACTTTGACTTTATTCTTTTTTTCATTCTCCACAAAACTATAATCTTTCCAAGAACCAAAACGCCCATCTCAAGAAGAATTTATGCAAATATCATACCTCAACAGGTTAAATGATTCTTCAATAAATATAAAAAGACTTCCTTAAAATGAGTAAATACAGGCTCATATTTTCACCACAAAACTTTTAAAAAATTGCTTTTTTCCTATTTATACAAATAGTACTATTTCAATTAAATAATTCTGTTCATTCTCAAAGACTCAAAGAATAAGTTCTTGGGAACATTACAGGCTCCCATGAAGTTCATATGCACCAAAATTAATACTTTGTCTCTCCAGGGAAAGAAGATTTATATGGTTGCACTAATCTGTTCCATGCTGTAATTACATCTTAACAAGAGAAATGGGGCCACACACCACATAATTATACCTCAATATCCCTCTGGAAATCGAACAGGTCAATTCGCTGCCAGTTACTGCCATCCAGAGCCAGAACATTCCAGGCCTATTTAGAAGAAAAAGAGACAGAATGAGCAGGAGCTGTAACAAAGGAGAAAACCCAGCAATATTCGTGTTCACAATTCATTCTACTAATGACTGAAATTGACGGAAACATTTCTCAGTCCCCCACCATTAACTCTCAATAAGTCTGCCTTCTTATTCATACTTTATTCTCCAATGAGATTATCTCATAAATGAGTGGGTAGAGCTACAATAGATTTTAGGGGCTTGGGGAAAGAACAAGCTGTAATATGTATCATAGCCAGAAACTGTTTTCTAACTGGAAGATTCTAGTTTCTCATCCCAAAGAGATATAGTCCAGCTGATGAAAAGTAAGCCCATTATTCTATCTCTCAACAAGGATGAAGATGAGGGTGAAACCAAAGAAAGAGGATAGTACAATGAATATTGCTATGTTCAATACCTATTTGCTATCCATAGGATCACTTGGTCAGACTTAAAACTGTGATATGGTAACCTGGGACTTTGAAAAGACAGCACAATTTCTCTGTATACCTTA